CTTAGTCGCTAGTCAGGAACTCCACATTAGACCCAGGTTTGGTGTGGTTGGAACACACAAGGCAGCAAGAGTAAGTGTAAGGTCCGAACCACCTGTGTTTGTAGTTGCTTGTGATTCTTGGGGCTGCTTATTCCCACGTCCTTAAATGTCATTTCCACTTAATGATGAGTCACCTCTGTGCAGGCACAAACTTGTGGTTTTGTGGGTCAAATATACCCAGTTCATGATGAGCAGCTCAGGGGTCATTCAATGTCCCAGGGTGAAGCATTTAGCCTCTGCCTGGGCCCAGCAGCAAATCATGAGCTATTTCTCAAAAGGAGAATAGCTACCTGCAGAAGGCAGCATGGGTTTCCTCTAAAATCCTAAAGGTCTGTCCTTTGATTCTCTTATGTGTGCTTGTTGGAGGCTCTACGTAGTATCACAATTTACCATAAACACTTTAAGCATCATTGGTATTAGCTGTTCTCCAGAGAAACAGAACCATCAGATAATAGATATATAGATATGAAGAGATTATTTAATTGTTTGACTTTTGGTGATTCAGCCTGCAAACAAGAGATATGAAATTCTTATAGGACCACTATGGAAAATCTGGTTCTCCTGACCATATTTGAGCGAGAGTTTAAAACCTGATGTGTAAGATCAGGCACTCAGAAGTAGCAGTCCCATCCACAGTCCTTGCATGTCTATCATGTAACTATGACAGCCAATTGGGGCCCAACACTACTCCGCTAGACACTTCACAGCCTACCACAGGAGAATTAATTTGATGACACTTCATGCCTAATGTTACTAATAGCCATTTTCATTGACTAAACCTAGGAGACTCACGAGAGCCTAAGAATCAGACCAAACCAACTCCAGATCTTTGTAGGCTGTCCCTAGGCCCAGTTTAGGTTAATAAATGTTATCAGTCAGGATCCAGTTAGGGAAACAGAAACCATGCCAATTATAATAGAGAGGATTTGAACAGGAAGTTATTAAACGGGTATTGGAGGACTGAAAGCAAAAAGCAACTACTGAGGTAACTCAGACATGCAAATATAGGCTGGGGATCAATGAAGGGTCATTAGAGCGCAGAAGCTTGAGACGGCCCTCAGAGCTGGGATCGGTAGAGAACGGCACTCAGCTGGCGTAGCATCTCAGGAGCTGGATAGAGAACCTGTGAGAGGGACCTGCTGGCTGGTTGCTGTTCTCTGAAGGGGCACAGTGAGGCCGACTGGGGGTTGGGCTCTGGAACTCGGAATGAACCTGTTACTCGCCAGGATGAAGAACCGTTGCTGGAATGACATTGGCAAATCACAGCAGAATAGGAAACAGGGAGACTGCTTTTCCCCCTCCCACCTTCCCAGCTCCTTAGCGCCCTGTTGGCAGAGCCCTGGAGCTGCTGGCAAGGCAAGTGTACTTGCAATGTCTCACCCAAAGCAGGTAGAGAATGGTAGTGGGAGCTGAGTCAAACAGCTTAAACCGCCATAGTTTTCTTGACTATAACCTGGTTGTGAGGAAGAAATGAGTCCGATGATAAATGTTAGAATTGTGTCCTGGTCAGTGTAGTAAGTGTCCAACATGTTAGCTCTTTTTCCCCCTGCATCAGTTGAGATGTGTGTTTTTTTCTTCAATCTGTTAATGTGGTGCATCACATAGATGGATTTTTGGTATGTTTGACATTTTTGCATTAGGAATAAATTCCACCTTGGACATAATGTATACTCCTTTTTTTCTTCTTTGTTCTCTGTCATCTGTCTCTCTCTTTCTTTTTTCTTTAGAGCCGGCAACTTCTCTGTCACCTAGGTTGAGTACAGCGCTGTGATCAGTCTCACTGCAGTCTCGAACTCTGGGCTCAAGAGATCTCCTCACTCAGCCTCGGAGTAGCTGGGACTCACACACACACTCACCACATGCCCAGCTGGTTATAATCCTTTTAATGTGATGTTGAATTCAGTTTAAGTTTTTTTTCTTAATAGCTATTTACTGTATAGACTTTTGGAGGAAGCAGCTGAGTCAAGATGACCTTAAATGTCACCAGGGAACTTCCTGACCTTCTGCTCTGACAGCCATTTCAGTTTTGCTCTTTTTTTTTTGAGACAGAGTCTCACTTTGTTGCCCAGGCTAGAGTGAGTACCATGGCGTCAGCCTAGCTCAGCAACCTTAATCTCCTGGGCTCAAGCAATCCTCTGCCTCAGCCTCCAAGTAGTTGGGTACAGGCATGCACCTGATGCCTGGCTAGTTTTTCGTATATTATTTTTATTGATCAGATTAATTTCTTTCTATTTTTAGCAGAGACAGGGTCTCTGCTCAGGCTGCTTTCGAACTCCGATCTCAAGCCATCCGCCCACCTCGGCCTCCCAGAGTGCTAGGATTACAGGCGTGAGTCACCACACGTGCCCAGTTTGCATTCTTGGGTGTTTACTGGACGACCTCTCTCCCTGCTGTCTCAGTTCCTGGTGACTCTCTTAATGTAGAAATGTAGCTAAAGACAAATGGGAAACATTTGTGATTTAGAAGAACAGTTTTGAGAGCCTAGCTTTTTTCTAAATATCAGGGATTGTTTTGCCTGTTAATTTAGAGGTTAAGAGCCTAAGAAGAATGTCAGGATAGCGATCACATATTTATGGTTGAAGAGAAAGCTGCCTCTCCTGGGTCTCTGATCTAGCTGAGTGTGAGAAGGGTGGCGGTTCCACAGCAAGGTGGCTCCAGCCCCACTGCTTGAGGGCACAGCCTGGAGGGACCCTCAGGGTCACCTGCCTGCTTTCTCACCTGTTTGGCAGGAAGTAGATTACAGCCTTGTCCTGTAGCAGGGAGAGGCATTGTGGTAGGGGGAAATGTCTCTTGGTTTCTAGAAGCATTTGGGATTAACTCGAGGTAGGATTTCCTAAGAGTCCAATGACCCAGCCCTTAACCCTCTCTCTTGGATATGTTGGTTCTGTTGGTCTGAGTTGGAAACTCAGATTCTGCCTTTTAAAAGGTGGCTCAGTAAATTTTATCCTCAGGATTATCTCTCCTTCACTTTGTTGCCCAGGCTAGAGTGAGTACCATGGCGTCAGCCTAGCCCACAGTAACCTCAAACTCCTGGGCTCAAGCGATCCTACTGCCTCAGCCTCCCAAGTAGCGGGGACTACGGACATGCGCCCCCGGGCCTGGTTAATTTTTTGTATATATATTTTTATTTGGTCAATTAATTTCTTTCTATTTTTAGCAGAGACAGGGTCTCGCTCAGGCTGCTTTCGAACTCCCGATCTCAAGCGATCCGCCCACCTCGGCCTCCCAGAGTGCTAGGATTACAGGCGTGAGTCACCACACCGTGCCCAGTTTTGCATTCTTGGGTGTTTACTGGACGACCTCTCTCCCCTGCTGTCTCAGTTCCTGGTGACTCTCTTAATTGTAAGTGAATGTAGCTTAAGACAAATGGGAAACATTTGTGATTTAGAAGAACAGTTTTGAGAGCCTAGCTTTTTTCTAAATGTCAGGGATTGTTTTGCCTGTTAATTTAGAGGTTAAGAGCCTAAGAAGAATGTCAGGATAGCGATCACATATTTATGGTTGAAGAGAAAGCTGGCTCTCCTGGGTCTCTGATCTAGCTGAGTGTGAGAAGGGTGGCCGGTTCCACAGCAAGGTGGCTCCAGCCCCACTGCTTGAGGGCACAGCCTGGAGGGACACCTCAGGGGTCACCTGCCTGCTTTCTCACCTGTTTGGCAGGGAAGTAGATTACAGCCTTGTCCTGTAGCAGGGAGAGGCATTGTGGTAGGGGGGAAATGTCTCTTGGTCTTCTAGAAGCATTTGGGATTAACTCGAGGTAGGATTTCCTACGAGTCCAATGACCCAGCCACTTAACCCTCTCTCTTGGATATGTTGGTTCTGTTGGTCTGAGTTGGAAACTCAGATTCTGCCCTTTTAAAAGGTGGCTCAGGTAAATTTCATCCTCAAGGGAAGTTTGGGAGGCCCTGCTTTGGGGCAAGAGAGCAGCTCTCTCAATTCTGGAAAAGGGAGTTGACATAATACTTAACCACTGCAGAGAAACATCTGCTTGGGTAAAATCTGTGCAGGAAAAAAAGAAGGCTACCATTACTATTCTATGGAGGAGGAAATTTGTGGGGCTCTTTGAAAGCTCTAGAGTCATGAATGACAGATAATGTCATTGAAGATCAAACTATCTTCTCTAAATCAGCTAGGGTTTGGTTGCAAAACAGAGCAGCTGTTTGTTTTACCTTGGAGACCAGGAACTGGGTGGCCACCACAGAGAGGGGTCTGAAGCGTGTGTCCAGGCAAACCAGGTCACACCTGATGCTGATTCAACCTCTGCCAGTGATGTGGGCACAGAAAGGTTTCCTATGGTGTCTTTCCTCTCCTGAGCTAGAATTACTTCTCAAATGCAGAAAGCAAAAGGCTTATGCGGCTGGCCAGAAAAGACAGGACCTCAATGCTTTTCGAGAACTGTTATTAAAGTTTAAGTGTTATCATAGCTAGGGACTCCTGATATGGACAGGAACACACACAGTCAAGAAATAGGTGTCCACTTATTTATTTCTAATGAGCTGATACAGCAGGAAAATTAGGTCAGGCTCTCGAGCACGTGGTGGATACATGAATGGCCACCTTCACCTTCAGAGGCCCTGGAGGCAGCTCTGCCACTTCTACAAAGCTGGTTTTGTTTGGATAAAAACAGGGCGTTAGAGCAGTGCCCTAAATCTGTGGTCCCTAAACCCCCGGCCCGTGGACAGGTACTGGTCTGTGGCCTGTTAGGAACAGGGCCCACAGCAGGGGGTGAGCGGTGGGCCAGCCAGCGAAGCTTCATCTGTTTTTACAGCCGCTCCCCATAGCTTGCATCACTGCATAAGCTCCACCTCTTGTCAGAGCTGCAGCACGAGTAGATTCTCTTAGGAGCTCAAACCCTGCTGCAAACTCTGCATGCGAAGGATCTCGGTTGCGGCTCCTTATGAGACTCTAATGCCTGATGATCTGAGGTGGAGCTGAGGAGGTGATGCTAGCGCCGGGCTGCAAATGCAGATTACCATTAGCAGAGAAGTTTGACTGCACAATAAATGTAATGCACTTGACTCATCCTGAGACCACGCCCCCTGCCGCCACATCCATGGAAAAATTGTCTTCCATGAAACCGGTCCCTGGTGCCAAAAAGGTTGGGGGCTGCTGCCTTAAGTGACTATGGACAAGCATTTCCTAGAATAAGAGGGGCTCGGTAAGCAATTTTTGAATGAGTGAGTAAATGTGACTTAGAGAGACAGTTTGTCATTGGCTTGCCAAACAGATTTCCACTTGTTGACAGTATATGAGAAAACGTCAGGCTTCATTTCTCAGACCTTTATTCTTCTAAGCAAAGTTCAGCCCTCTGCCTGTTACAGTCTGTTAAGCACAGAAGCCCCGAGTTCTCCTATAACTAACCCAGACCTGTTACTCCTCGGCCCTCACAACCCTCCAAGCAGCCAGCACTTGCGTGGGGCGCGATGGAGCAGGGCAGCAGCCGCCCGGAGGACCTCCCCATCAATGTGTTTTCTGTCACTCCTTACACGCCCAGTACCGCTGACATCCAGGTGTCCGATGACGACAAGGCGGGGGCCACCTTGCTCTTCTCAGGCATCTTTCTGGGACTGGTGGGGATCACGTTCACCGTCATGGGCTGGATCAAATACCAAGGTGTCTCCCACTTTGAATGGACCCAGCTGCTCGGGCCCATCCTGCTGTCGGTCGGGGTGACGTTCAGCCTCATTGCCGTGTGCAAGTTCAAAATGCTCTCCTGCCAGTTGTGCAAAGAAAGCGAGGAAAGGGGCCTGGACTCGGAGCAGACACCGGGAGGACAGTCGTTTGTGTTCACTGGCATCAACCAGCCCATCACCTTCCACGGGGCCACCGTGGTGCAGTACATCCCTCCGCCTTATGCTGCTCAAGAGCCGCTGGGGGTGAACACGCCCTACCTGCAGCCCGTGCTGAGCCCCTGCGGTCTCATACCCTCTGGAGGGACAGCGGCCGCCATGCCGAGCCCTCCTCAGTACTACACCATCTACCCGCAAGGGAACGCCGCGTTTGTGGACGACGAGGACTGCCCTTCTGTCGTGGATGGTGGGAATGACAGGTACGCTGTGTGTGTGTGTGTGTGTGCCCCCTTCAGCTGCCAGTCACGCTGTGCGGCTGTGTGTGGTCTGTGGGAAAGGCGGTGGGGAATGTGGACTCTGCCGGCCTGTTCCCTGGGCCGGTGGCGCTGTGGGCTGTAACATATCTGTGTTTTCTGCTCACGTTTCAGGCCCAGCCCTGGCACTGATCAGCTGCAAGAGTCTCAGCTGGAAGAGGAGGCCTGTGCCTGCTTCGCTCCTCCCCCCTATGAGGAAATATACGCCCTCCCTCGCTAGTGAGCAAGCGTTGAAGTCATTGTTACCTGACAACCGGAGTTCTACACTGTGACCTTCCAAATTTAGGCAGCAGAGTGGCCCAGCAGCCTGGGGGGAAGGGAAAGTGTCTCAGATTGGTAAAAATTAGGCCGGGCTGGGGAAATTCTCCTTTGGTACAGTTTCAACTTCCGTTGTGTAAGAAATCTCTTGCAAAGTCCAGGAGCAGGACTTTCACCTGTTTAGCCTCCTCCCACCCCCTTCCCTGTTGGAAAGCACTCGGGTCTCAATTCTTACTTCCAGCTGGGCACTGTGGCTCCTGCCTGTAATCCCAGCACTTTGGGAGGCTGAGGTGGGAGGATCTCTGGGGGCCAGGAATTTGAGACCATTCTGGGCAACATAGCGAGAACCCCATCTCTACAGAAAAGAAAAAAAAAATCTAACTCCAGCAGCTAAGGGAAAAATCGCTACTTCTGAGACTTTGGGAGTCTGTACAGGGGTGAGAGTAGAGGTGGGAAGGAAGCAGAAGACAAAACAGGTTCCACTACAGGTTTCTCAGCGCCTGTCCTTGGCCCCGCAGTAGACTCATACATCCCAAACAACTCCGTTGCCATCGGGTCTGTCTTGAGAACTCTGGGTATCTTTAAGGCTGCAAATAAATAAATAAATACAATGAATTAAAATAAAGAATGTCTCCTATTAGCATAGTATCAGCTGGCTAAATTATACAAAATAAATAATAATAGGATAATGATATGAACAAATCCTTAAGTTGTCACTGAATCACAGTGACTCTTGGTGGCTGCAGCTTGGTGTGTGATGTGCACAGGGGCGCAGGGGGGGGGGGGGGGGCTCTTGGTGCCCCCAGCCTGGGGCTTGTGCCCAGCATGAACTAAGTGGGCCCGTGGCCCACAGAACACAGACACTTCCCCGATCACCCACGGGTCTGCCAAGTTAGAGCAGAGCTGCTGTGTCCACACCTAGGAATTCATGAATTATGAAAACAAGCTTTACAGTTAAGACAAGCTCCTCTTATTTGTAAAAAAAGCTTCGGTGTCTTTAACTTCCCTGGATGTGGACTGTGCAATAAACAATTGGAGCAGACTCACAGACTTTCAAAGAGACAGTTTAAAACCATTAGAACCATTAGTCTTAAAAGAAAATATCTTCTGTAGGCTACAAAGGGAAGGCCACTCACAGTAAGGGTGATGAATCCCAACGGAAGATGTGGGATTTATTGATTCTTTAATATTTTGGTACCATGTTTGTATATGGAGTGATTTTTCACCCATTTTCATCAGAAGTACCGTGTTTCTCCGAAAATAAGACCTACACATAAAATAAGCCCTAGCAGGATTTCTAAACTTTTGCGCAATATAAGCCCTACCCCAAATATAAGACTTAGTGATGGGAGGGCTAGGCAGTGGATCTGTACAAGCCATGCATTTCGTCGTGGAACGGTAAAGAAGGCGAGCGGCCCTTCTCACCTGCCCCATGAGAGCTCTATTGCTCGACATGAGAGATTGAGGCCAATGGTTCTAAAGGAAATAGAGTCACAAGAAATTCAGGATGGAGTTTGGGGTTTGGAGAGTTATGATGATGTTCCAGAAGAAGACAATTTAACTATATTAGAATAAATGTAGATTGTTGTACCACACTTAAAAAAAATAACACATCCCCTGAAAATAAGCCCTAGGGTGTCTTCTTGAAGAAAAATAGATATAAGACCCTGTCTTATTTTCGGGGAAACACCGTATGTAGTTTTCCAAGGATTTGCGTGAAATAAGTTTGCTGTATTATTGTTGTGATTTAGATCATGTCTTAGGGACAAAACTTTGTTATATTCATTTTCATGTTTGATGCCGGAAGGTGATGGGCAAATATGACTCAGGTTATAGAAACTAGCTTTATTTATTTATTTATTTTTTTAGAAACTAGCTTTATATTCAAGCTGTCTGGAGACCCCGGGCTCCTCGCTGATACCGACTGGCAAATGAAACTTTGGGCCCCTCACGCCTTTTCCTCCCCATCCCCACCCACTCGCCATTTTATATTCATGCATTTGGGCTACAATGAACAGAAATGTAGCTCAAAGAAAAAGAGATGTCAGGAAGGGCTCTTCGGGTGGAAGCTGGGGAGGGCAGGACAGCCAGTTTGTCCTGTTCCAAGGACGTTCCTGTCCCAAGTCAGAGAAAAATTGCTAACATAGCAGCCTTCGATGCTTCCAAAAACAGTGCTTCAGGGCCAATGGCTTCAGGAGCTCAAGGTGCAAGAGGGGCCTGCAACAGTCGGGGGTCAGAAAATGGGAATTTGTTCACTCATTCAGCATCTATTTATTGAACATCTACTCTGTGTGAGGGCCAGGGCCATCAAGTGGGAATTAACTGAAAAATGAAAGCAACAAAAGAACAGATATGTCTCTGCCCTCACAGAACTTCTATTAATAGTTGAGAGGGGGAAACAGATACTGATTCATTATCTGTGTTAATTGTCTACTAATTTTCCTGATACCAGTGAGGGGTCCTGGAGCTCTAAGAGGGATTTGGACTCCTCAAAGGTTGTGACTCTTGCTTGGGAGTGAAATCAGAGCCAGCGCCTCGCATAACCCCAGGGAGTACTGTTCTCAGGGACAGCCAAGCCACTGGTGCCTGTCAACCTGTGAAGACTGCGCTGGGAGCTAAAGGAACCGTAGGTGTCTACTAGACAAAGATGAGAGGGCAGCTCTCTTGGGAGGGGAGCCTAGCAAAGCTCCACGGGGGAGGCATCTCACAGGCTGTGTAAATTGGATTTCCCTTGCAGCTACAGCCCTCAAACAGAGCTGTCTTCTAGCACCCAAGAAATTATACCCATCAGCTTTCTTGCTTGGAGACCACCCACCATGCTCTCTTTATTTCAAACAATGGGAAGCCCAGTGCGTGGCTCCTGGACCCCTACTACCAACCGGGTCCCTACCCAGTCTCTCTGACCAGCAAAGACACACATTCCCCACAGAGTTTCTGGGTTTTTTGTCCAGATATTTGTCTTTTTTTTTTTTTGAGACAGGGGTCTTGCTTTTTTGTCTGGACATGAGGGCAATGGCATGATCATAGCTCACTGGAACCTCAAACTCCTGGGCTCAAGCGATCCTCCTGCTTCAGCTTCTTGAGTAGCTGGGACTACAGGTGTGCACCATCATGCCCAGCTAAGTTTTTGTAGAGAGAGTGTCTCCCTGTGTTGCTCAAGCTGGCCTTGAACCCCTGACCTAAAGTGAGTCCCGCCTTGCCCTCCCAAAGTGCCAGGATTACAGGTGTGAGCCATTGTGCTGCTCCAGATATTTGCCTTTTGTCATTCTCTCACTCGGTATCTTTTTTTTTTTTTTTTGGGACAGAGTCTCACTTTGTTGCCCAGGCTAGAGTGAGTGCTAGCTCACAGCAACCTCAAACTCCTGGGCTCAAGCAATCCTTCTGCCTCAGCCTCCCCAGTAGCTGGGACTACAGGCATGCGCCACCATGCCCGGCTAATTTTTTCTATATATATTAGTTGGCCAATTAATTTCTTTGTATTTATAGTAGAGACGGGGTCTCGCTCTTGCTCAGGCTGGTTTCGAACTCCTGACCTCGATCAATCCATCCGCCTTGGCCTCCCAGAGTGCTAGGATTACAGGCGTGAGTCTCACTTGGTATCTTATCAGGAGTGAAGAATGGAAGAGTGTAATGGGGGTTGTGAGTGGGTCTCCTGGCTCTGCTCTCTCGCCTTAGATTATTAGTGGAGGGAGAAGCCCTGGCGCTGGACAGGTGCCTGAATATCCAGTGTCTGGGCCAGAACCTATAAGGCCTTGTTAACTTTGTCAGTCTTGTCAAATATTGTGGGCTTTGTCTAAGAGCAATTAGGAAGCCATGGAAGTGTTTTTAACAAGGGGGAGCTGTGATCAGATTCTGAACACTCAAGGGTTAGGACAAGACCCAGAAGACATGTACCGATATAATATTAACCTTGCTGGCCAAGTTCAGAGCGAAGTGACCAGAACCCTGTGAGCCATCCCTACCCTCTCCTCCACCCTCAGCCTCAGGGGGGCCGTGTGGGTGGGCACGCTCAGGAGATCTACACAGATTTCAAAGTAAAGCTAAAAGGTCTCGTTAGTTAAAGAAAACAGGTTTCCTAATAACTTACTATCTGGAAACATCTCCTGGGAGCCAGTGTGGGCTGGGCCTTTTGGCTTAAGAGACTGATAACAGCTGATGATTTTGCTGGAGCAGAAGAAAAGGGATTATCCAGGTTTGAGAAATGGGCCCAGACGCCAAGGGGAAGAAGGTTTCCCAAGCTCTTAGGGCTTTTTCTCTCTCCCCTTTCTGCCATAGGAGGGCGGATGTCTTGTGCAAAGAGGCACTACATTTCACTGCCCGCTGGGAAGCGCCTTTCCAAGGTGGAGCTTCCCAGAGATCCCACTCCCCTCCCCTTTTGCTCCACTGAGCCAGGTGTGGGTCTAAGTTTCAAGTTCACCACGTGGCTCTCTGCTACAAAACCAGCCCTTGAAATGCTTTTCTTGATTTTTTTTCCAGTACAGTATAAAAATAAAGCCTGTTGTTTGTGAAGAGCTGGCCTTGGGCATCTGCTTTCAGCTTCAGACCTTTGGGGATCATCTTGGCCTTATTTACTGTTGGCTGGGGGAGTAGGGTTGCACCGAAGCTGAACACTTCTGGGGGCTGGTGCCCCAAACACAAGCTCCTCACAATAACCCAGAAGTAGACCCTTCTCGCCAACCTAGAGAGAGATGCTCCCCCACAAGTCAAAGAGGCTGGTGTGGTCTAGATCTCAGAGTAGTTCCTACCTGCCACCATCTGCACTCTGGAGAGGCTACAGCTCATGTGGCACTCACCAAAGTGCCTCATTCAGGGCGCTTGATGCAAGCAGTGCTCAGTTTCTGTTGAATAACAAATGTGATATGAATATATGAGAACATTTTCAAAGAGATAATAAACAGCCATTCTGGCTTGTTAGCTGTTTTGCAGTTTCTACATTATGAAAAATTTCAAACAAATATAGGAGTAGAGAGAATAGTACAGACATACCTTGTTTTATCATACTTTGCTTTATTGAGCTTCCTGGATATTGCATTTTTTTACAAATTGAATGTTTGTAGCAAGTCTGTATTAAGCAGGTCCATCAATGTCATTTTTTCTAACAGCATGTGCTCACTTCTTGTCTCTATGTCACATTTTGGTAATTTTTGCAATGTTTCAAACTTTTTCATTATTATTATTTCTGTTATGGTGATTTATGAGCCATGATCTTTGATGTTACTATTGTAATTGTTTTGGGGTGCTATGAACCATGCCCATATAAGACAGCAAATGTAGTTGATAAATGCGTGTGTTCTGACTGCTTCACCAACCAGCCCTTCTCTCATCTCTGTCACTCTTCTTGGGCTTCCTATTCCCCGAGACACAAGAATATTGACATTAGGCCAATTAATAACCCTGCAATGGCCTCTAAGTGTTCAAGTGAAAGAAAGAGTCACAGATCTCTCACTTTAAATCAAAAGCTAGAAATGATTAAGCTAGTGAGGAAGGCATGTTGAAAGCTGAGACAGGTGGAAAGCTAGGCCTCTTGCTCCAGTTAGCCAAGCTGTGAATGCAAAGGAAAGGTTCTTGAAGGAAATTAAAAGTGCCACTCCAGTGAACACATGAATGGTAAGAAAGTGAAAAAGTCTTATTGCTGGTATGGGGAAAATCTAAGTGTTCTGGATAGAAG